AAAAAGAAAAATCACGCATGCCGAAGAGAAATCGAGAAAATGAGCTTACACATCATCGATGCAGAACTTCAAATTATTGGTAACAGCAGGATCAAACAAGGAAGTGAAATTGCTAAAACTGCTATAAAGGACCTGGGCCAAAAGCGGTTTCGACCCGGGATTATCGCTCTGCTGCTGCTGCTGTGCAGAGATTTGATTCACCGAGATGATGAAAAAAACCAAAAAAATTACGACGATTCGAACAGAGGCATTGCTTTTCTGCCATTTCTGACTGCACATTTTCATCAAGGACCATCACAAGTGTGTTGATTTTGCAGCTGCTAATAAGAATTTTAATTTTGTGATGAAATTGGAGAGGAAATAGTGGGAGAAAGCTAGGGTTTGGGGGCATGGAAGAAGAAAAATGGTGATTTCTCGGAGGGAAGAAATGGCGGGGAGAGCAAGTAGGAGAAGAGGAGAGAGATGGCATGCATTTTGTATTTGGGCCGTTAGATTACGCAACGGTATTTTGAAACCATATATCAAAACTTATACTCTTATTATATATTAAAAAAAATAAAAAATTACCCCATAAACCAAATATATATATAAATATATTTATCCGAAATACTTAGAATTATTCGTAATGATTCGAGTCAAATAAAAAAAACTAAAAAATTTATTTGTTTCTCTTTGTATTGATTCACTTTGATATAGTACGAAAGATGCAAAATATATAGAACAAATTGATACACTACCACCGAGTGAATTGCTACATTGATAGATAGTGAGTCTATGAAGTTGTTAACTAGTCAAATTTGAGCTACATATGATTGGTAATTAGGGCTTTAATTTTATCTTTTTTACAAAGTTTAATATGAAATGAAATGAATAATATATATATCTTTTGTTTAGTGTATATGTGGTTATTTGTTATTGATATCGAAATTAATATTCAAATGCATAAATAGTAAAAAATTAATTTAATTAAGATAATGAAAGTCATGTGAGATTTCTTAAAGTATAAATGATCTTATTTAAAAGAAACAAAAATCTTATGAAGTATCGCGTGTACTCATATTTATATAATCTATATTATATTAAAAGAATGAAAGTTCTTATAAACGCAATAAGTCACTTTGCATTATACAAAATTGTTTGTTTACCATGTTCCTTTAATTATTATGCAATTATTATAATGATATTATATATTGACTATGATAAATATGATAAAAGTTAAATATTGATAATTTCTTTTGTAACTATTAAATTTCCACGTGGAGAAACTTTTTCCAACTAAAATAAATGTGATATGGAAAAAGGTGATAAACTAAGAACTTCTAACGATAGAAAGTTTGATTATCTCTCAATAGATTGTAGTTCGCGAATTTTCATTCTAATTAGTATATCAAATAAAAGAAAAAGATATTTACATCAAATATACTGTGTTTTTTCTTATTCAAATAATCATCTTTTTAAATTAAGTTATAATTATTCATCGAAGATTGACGCTTCATATAATATAGTGATAAAGGTCCCAAACTAAGGAAAACAAATAAAATAAAAAAACCTAAATCTTCATATTTCTCCATTCTCAAAACTTTATAATTAAATCTATGATTAAAATGAGTTATATAACCCCACTACTATTTGGTGGTATACAACTTTTGTTGCCTAATGAAACCAAAATTCTCATAGGAAGGAATAAAAAACTATCAAAAAGGATTTAGTGCAAGTATGACAAATTCCATTATATTCTATATATCATAGTGGTCAATCAAAATAATGACCAATTGAATTATTTTGTAAAAAAAAAAATATGAATTACAAATTCTTATTAAAATAGTCTTAATACTAAACATTGGGTTAAGCTACTTGGATAATTGAAATTAATGTTAATACATGTGAATTATTCTTATTAAAATAGTCTTATTACTAAATATTGGGTTAAGCCAAGTACTTGAATAGTTGAAATATATTTTAATACATGTGAATTTGTTTCAGCAATATATATGAAAAAGTTAATGGTAAGAAACATATATAAATTATTATTTTCACATAAATTTAATATCTTAATGATTTATTAATTTTGTTGCGAGTTTTTAAACTTAAACTATTCACTCCATTTATATTAAAACATATATCGTTATTGAATTTTGAGCAAACATTACACAATACCAAAATTAAGAACTAACTTTATTTTGATATTTTCAATAAATAAAATTAATTTTTATTCTGTTACGTATAATATTACATAAATTATACATATTTATAGACCAAACCCTTGATTGGTACATTAGTAATACAAAATAAATCATATAAATTTATGAACAATCGAAAGTCATATTAATAATAACCCCCTCCCCTTCTCTTTTTGCTTTTCTTAAATAAATGGAAAATTTAGAAATATAAATACATGAGTTCTTAAGTAAAGATGAAAATCTCTCACAAAACTTCAATAAATTTCAAAGTGAAATATATATTCAAATATAATTTTATTTATTATATATATTTTGAATTTAACTTAAAATCCTATATATTTTTTTATACCATTTAAAACCTACTTAATTAAATATATTTTGCTTTCTTGAGGGAAAAATGAAAAAAAATATGGGAATTTAACGGCAGCCATTTCTAGCTCCCGACAATATCATGATAAAACACGGTATCCGTACCTGTAAATAGAAAGTGAATACAAAAAGACATTAAAATATTATTTATTTAGAAAAAAGACAGATCGATATGTAAATTTTGATTCGAAATTTATTTCAAAAATTATACTTTTTAACTTTTGATTTGTTTGTTTGTTTGTTTTAGTTTGACGGAATTTAAAAAAATAGCTAATGTATTAAAATATATTTTTATATTAAAATTCTCAATATGCCATGTTAGAATTTTAAAAAAAAAAATTATTTCAAAATTATTATCTTACTCTAATTTTTCGTTATCAAACGAGTTGTAATATTCATCTTCCATGAATATTTTATGATTATAAAATAAAAAATATGTCATTCAAAGTGATTATTTTTAAGTATAAAATATGCTAATTTTTTACGATAAATAAAATGTCTCATCCTTTTTAGAAATGCCCTTTCAAATATTTTTTTGTCAAAGAGTTTCTATTAAATTTTAAAAATTTATCTTCAAATATTTATCTGATCATAAATTTTAAATATTTTACCTTAAACATTTATTTGGTCATAAATTTTGAACGAGGCTTCGAGAATTTATCTTCCAAAAAGAAATATTGGCATCAATTTTGATGGCAATGATTTACTCCATGTGATTTTAAGTGTACAAGCTGAGTTAATGATACACAAATACAATAAGAAATATGTCAAAGATTTATATTACATGTTGAAAGACATTAAAAGAGCACTTAGATGTCACTCTTTAATTTCAAAAATATGTAAATAGATGTTTATCTTCTTCAAATCACTAGATCTCAAGAAAACAAACATCTACTTACATATTTTTGAAATAAAAAACTGACATGTAAGTATTGTTTTAGTGTCTTTCAACATATAAACTCTTTTACATAATTTCTTGTTCTATTTGTCTAATGACCAACTCATGTTGTACAATTCCTTGTTGAAAAATCTTTCTTTAATTGCCCCCAAAATTGGTGCCACTATCTCTTTTTGGAATTGTTTCCATCTTCTTTCTTTTGATCCATTTGAATGTGTTACACACCTTTTCACGCCTCAGGCCCTACTTAGTTGACTGATAATGACAAAGGCTTGCGAAACTAAGTAGGGCCTTTTCCTTGTTTGAAGATAAGTTTTCAGAGTCTCCATCTAAATCTATGATTATATAAACATTTAAAGTAAGATTTTCAAAATCTATGACCAGACAAATGTATGAAGATGAGTTTTCAAAGTCGATTCAAATCTTTGACCAAATAGACATTTGAAGGTATGTTTTTAAAACCCAAATCTAAGACTAAATAGATATTTGAAGATTAGTTAGCAAAATTTAATTAAAAGTCTTTGACCAAATAAACATTTAAAGTAAAATTTTTAAAGTCTAATCCAAAGTCTGACCAAACAATATTTGAAGTAAAGTTTTCATTTGACCCAAAATTTATGGTTAAATAGATATTTGAAGATAATTTTTCAAAGTCAAATTCTAACTCTATGGTTAAATAGACATTTAAAGTAAAATTTTCAAAGTCTAATCTAAATTCTATTACGTACTAAACAAATATTTGAAGATAAGTTTTCAATAATATCTATGTCCAAACATATATTTGAAAATAAGTTTCAAAGTTTGATAAAAAAAATCTATGATCAAATAAACATTTGAAGTAAATTTTCATAGTCTAATTTAAAATATATGATCAAACAAATATATAAAGATAAGTTTTCAATATCTGATCCAAAATATATGACCAAATAGAAATTTGAAGATGACTTTTCAAATATTGATTCAAAATCTATGATTAAATCGATATATAAAGTAAAGTTTTCAAAGGCTAATTTTAGATTTATGATCAAACAAATATTTTAAGATAAGTTTTTAGAGTTTGATCTAAACTCCATGATCAAACAAACATTCAAACTAACTTTTTTTCATATGTAATTCAAAATCTATAACCAAACAGATATCTGAAGATAAATTTTTCAAGTCTGGTCCAAAATCTATGATCAAATAGATATTCAAAATAAATTTTCAAACCCCAACCCACAAATCTACTATCAAATAAACATAAAAATATTTACTTAAACACTAGTTTAGAATATAGTTGTTTCATTTTTATTTGATAACTATTAATAGTATCACTTCCAATTTTTCACTTTATTCCTATTGATTCCCACTTGATGGAAAAAATATATAAAGACAAAAAATAAAAACTATTTTCCATAAATCCAATAAGATGAACATTATTATAAATGTATAAAATAGTTAAATTGCTAAAAAAGAAATTGATGACTTTTTTAAACTCTAAAATATTATGAAATAGCGAAAAAATAAATTTAATTGTAAAATAAAAGAGAAAAGGGAATAAAAGGCGAGGATAGAAGCTGAAAAACTCCAAAAGAAGGGACTGAGCAGTGAAAGAGAAGTCAGAAAGAGGTGCATTTGCAGAATTTTGATTCCATTTTTACTGTCCATTTCCTCTCTCTCTCTCTCACCTCGTGACATCCGTCCTTCTCCACTTCTCCCCAATCATCAACTATTTCTCTCCATCCATATATTACTACTATTGCTATTTGTGGCTTCTCGAGTACGGTTGTTGTTTTTCTTCAGTTGAACTTGCTGCTGTAATTTGGATCGGCCGGAATAAAATGTAAGTTTAATGAGCATTTTTGTGAATAGATGAAATTGTGTTTTTTTTGTGCTTCATTACGAGTGTTTTGTTCATTTTTGTTGTACAAGTGTGTAATCATCAGGTGATGAATCAGTTTGAAATGGATCGAGTTGATCAGAAGTTGTTGTGATTGATTTAGATATGTTGTGTAATTTTTTTATCAACAGCATTTTTCCTCAGTTGAACGAGCTGTTGTAATTTGGATCGGCTGGAATTGAATGTAAGTTTAATGAGCATTTTTGTGAATAGATGAAATTGTGTGTTTTTCGTGCTTCATTACGAGTGTTTTGTTCATTTTTGTTGTACAAGTGTGTAATCATCAGGTGATGAATCTGTTTGAAATGGATCGAGTTGATTAAAATTTGTTGTGATGAAATTCAGTGTATTTTGTGCTTCATTCTGAGTGTTCATGTGTGAACTGTTAACGATGAGTATGAGTGATTTTGTTCAGTTGCTGTAGTTTTGAAATGGATTGAGTTGATCTAAATTCGTTGTTATTGATTTAGATATGTGTATGTACTCTTTTTTTTTACACAGCATTTTTCCTTGGTTGAATGAGCTGTTGTAATTTATATAGGACGGAATTAAATGTAGGTTGAACGAGCATCTTTTTGTGATTTTTTCGTGCATAGATGAAATTGTGTGTTTTTGTGCTTTATTACGAGTGTTCATGTGTGAAGTAACGATGAGTATGAGTGAGTTTGTTTATTTGTTGTAGAAGTGCGTAATTGTCAGGTGATGAATCAGTTTGAAATGGATCGAGTTGATTAAATTTGTTGTGATGAAATTCAGTGTATTTTGTGCTTCATTCTGAGTGTTCATGTGTGAACTGTTAACGATGAGTATGAGTGATTTTGTTCAATTGTTGTAGTTTTGAAATGGATCGAGTTGATCTAAATTTGTTGTTATTGATTTAGATATGTGTATTTACTCTTTTTTTTTACACAGCATTCTTCTTTTGTTGAATGAGCTGTTGTAATTTGGATAGGAAGGAATTAAATGTAGGTTGAACGAGCATTTTTTTTTTGTGATTTTGTTAATAGATGAAATTGAGTAGTTTTTGAGCTTCATTCCGATTGCTCATCTGTGTTTCTGGTGAAGTGACGATGAGTATTGAGTGATTTTGTTCTTTCTAAAAACAAAACACAAGTATATTATTACTTTTCACAAAAACAAAGAGAAACACAGATATATTAGTTCTTGAAATGTTCTTGTACTAAAATTGGTTTGGAGGGAAATGGATGTTCTACGTCTCGGAGCCCAGATAATTGGCTCTCTCTTTTTATCGTTCTTAATTTCTACACAGCAATAATCATCAGTATTCATTGTTGCATGCTTTTATCTGATGGAAAAATAAAACTGCTCAGATGATTACGCACGAGCAAGATCCAGATGTCGTTCGGTGGGGTCTTCAGTTGTTTGATAGTGATCCTTACTCTAACTGCGCATATAGTGGTGCCATGCCCCAAAACAGCTTAGATTACTATCAGGACCATTACTTCAAAGGTGATCATTTTAGTACAGAATCTGGCAATGAGGAAAATCACAATTTCAATGCACAGCGTCTCCAGGAAGAACTGTCTCAGCTTTCAGTCGCTGAACCACCTTCAATTCTCCATCAAATGGAAGAACATACACAAGCACATTTTTATCCACAAGACTGGTTTGGTCAACCTATAGGAAACTACAATATTGGTATTGGAAGTGTTTGCCTTTTCCAACCTCATAAATATAGTTCTTGGGTTAATTTATTCTGACTATTCATATTATAATTTCCAGGAGAAGAGAACTGTGATGAAGAAGAAACTAATGATGGAGCTTCCACTTCATGCTCTAGCCCAGGAGAAGAGTCATATACAGGGGAGGACTGGTCATATTCACTTGAATTGACAGATGAATATGATCTTGATGGTGAAGTAGGGAAACGATTGAACCAGATGATTCCAATTCCTGTAAGCATTCTATGTCCATATGTATAGTGAGTTAGCTGCTAAGATTTTCAACTGTTCTCCTTTTCATGATCAACACAATCATCTGAAAAAATCGGGATTCATGTGCCAGAAGTAGTTGGAGACGTGTCTCATTGTTGTTAAACTTCATTCTCCGTAGACACTTGAGAGATATACTTGTTTTTGTCTCTAAACTTAGTTGTGCCTCTTGAAAACAATCTTTGCCTTTATGCTCATACAACTTCTATACTTGCCTTTGCAGCACATTCCTAGAATCAATGGAGAAATACCATCAATTGATGAGGCAACCTTAGATCATCAAAGACTTCTTGACCGGTATTATACAATTTCTTTGATGGAAGATGTGCATGTTTGGTTCAAACATCTACAAACCTTATGCTGGTTGATAAACCTTGCAACTTGTTTTTTTTGCTCTAAATTTACCTCACCACTTCTGAAAAGATGCTGATCGACAAATTATATTTTGGCAAAACTTAAATATCATATTGTTTCATAAGGATTCATCATTATTTACTATATTTTGCATGTTTTTCTATTGTTTGAAAAATTAAGTCCGTCTTATTTGATGGCAAAGATAATTCTATATTTTGCATGTTTTTCTATTGTTTGAAAAATTAAGTCCGTGTTATTTGATGGCAGGGATAATTCTTGCAGCTGTTAAGTTTAAACAAATTAAATAATGTAAATACCTATCAAAAAGGTGGAAAATAATAGGACAAGAACAAATCAGGAAGAAATACTCCCGTCTGCTTTATGTGGCTCTACTATTATTTGAGAAGTTGAACAACTTTTTCTTTGACCATAACTTTTTCATAATTCTGTGTAAATTTTTTTTGGTAAAGAATTCTGTGTAAATTTTATTTTAAAAAGACTAAGAACTCGATTTTATAATTGAAACCGAAAAGTAGATTGTTTGTCCCTTGTATTCCTTCATTCTTTTTTAAACAAAGGGGTTCATTTTAACTCGCTTTGAACCAAAATATTTGCACCATTTTATTTCTATACAACTGTCACAACATTCATGAATCTAAATTTATTAAGTTCTTCCTACTTTAATTTTGATGTGATGTTTACTCTCTTTGTAACCTCGACTTTGATATTCTCTTTAATAATCCAATTATTTATGATATACATCAAATGAATTTCTTAATTCTTAAACTTCATGTCTAGTTAAATACTTTAACATAAAATGAAACGAGGGAGTATATATGTAGAATTTGTGAGTGTGTTCCCTGTTTGTTTATCTTCTTTGTCATTCTTTTGTTTAAGGTGCAGAAGTTTGTTTATTTTACAGATTACAGGTTTATGAACTAGTGGAATTTAAAGTTCAAGGTGATGGGAATTGTCAGGTCAGCTCTACTACATTCATCATTCAATTCTTTTCAATTAAAAGTCACAATCTTCCCTAGCACAATTATTTACTAGATAGTTGAGGATATCTGTAGTTTTGTTTAGTGTTCAAAAGAGGAGGGCAGGTTTAGTATCTTGATTTCTTTAGACATAAGAAAGTAATGACTTGAGTTAAAGAAGTTTGAAAAGGGTGTCTTTTCATTTTATAAATTTCTTGAGTTATACAACGTAGATAAAGAACGGGACATGGAACAACAAATATTCAATATTTTAAGAAACAAAACACTATTTTCAGATTATCCAAATAGGGGAACTTACTGCCCCGTATGTGAAATGTAAATAGCTTATGTATCGGAGTTACTAACTTCTAATCCCAATTTTAACAATCTATGTAATGATAATATCATGTAAGCACTTATCATAAGATACACTACGGGGAAAATGAGGAATGGACGCTGACAGACTATTGCATTTGACATTTGGTTAAGAAACTCCACCCAAGAAAGCCATCTCATATGGTTATGGGATGCTATGCGGTTGCAATATAAAATCTGAAATTTAGTGTTGGAACCAGCCTAGAAAATAAAGTGTTATAGATATATCATCCCTGAAAAAACAAAAGTTTGAAATAATAGGAACATGATTTGGTTTCACCACTTTTCCCGTAAGCTCTAGTTTTCGGTGCTACAATTCACACAAGTCTATATTTTTACCTTTGATATCCATATGTAACTGTCTTCTTACGCTAGAAAAATGCTAAAAAGGTCTTTTTCTTAAACATTAGTCAAAGTTGATGCGAGAAGTGATGAACTCCTAATCAAAAAAGGAGAAGTTATGCAGTTTGGGGATGTTAAAGCTGAGGTTATCTTAGGTTAATTATGAGGGTTGCAAATTATGTAATTAAGAAGTAGAGAAATAATGAATAATCAAATTGGTTTTCGGTTAGTAACTTTGAGGACTTTACATAACAAGAAGAAAAGAGGAGAGGAAAATGAGAATAACCTCTCTTAGGGATTCAACTAAAAAGGATGCTCACCTTGTTTAAGCTTATATTTAATATATGATCCTCCTGAATACTTCCTATAAATTTTTTTTGTTGATATAAGTCAATAGTCTAAAATAATTGCATTATAAATCTCAAGTTCTTTCATCAACCAATCAAATCTCAAGTTCATCATTCGAATAACCACACATCTCCATCCAAAGAACATTGACTCCTGCTATGTCCAATCATCTGTAACCATTTAACTTATTGGGGCTCAAAGCATTCCAATACTACTTTGCTTATATATGCTAAAGATTCTCTAAATCTTTCACTTACTTCTACATTGTCATACCAATCTTTAACCAAATTATTACCAAATATCAGACGTAATAGTGTAACAACATAGCTAAACTTGTATCCCAATCAAATAGTATCACCTACAGGAATATTTTGCTTTCATTGTTTCAATTCTTAGCTATGTATATTGATTCCAAAGGTGTTAGGTATTTTTGACATCTTCCTTCCCTGTTTGTTTAGTCTACCTCATCCCTTTTAAGCGCCTCAAATCATTGAAATGTCTTACATATGGCTCGGGGCATATGGAATCAACGTTGGACATGGACAAACCATCTCAGGCGGGAGGCAATCTTCACTTAATTTATCCTTTATGCATGCTATGTGCACTATTTGTCAGATGTGGTTATTTTTACTTGTCTAACATTATAGGAATGAATATCTTTCTTAATATCTCTGTATCTGAGGATGATTATGGATATGTTCACCTTAGAGACATAATATTGTTGGTCTCACCACTATTCTATAAAACTTTACTTGATAAATATTTTATGTATCATATAATACTCGAATTGCAGCCCTCTATTTCAAACATCCTATTTTAATTCTATATATCATATCTGCATCTATCATGTCATTTCCTGGACAATGCAGTTTTAGAAGCTAAGTCGGACATACTCAGGTTGCAACCCTCCATTTCAAACATCCTACTTTTTTCTGCATGTCATGTCTGCATCTATCATGTGTCTTTTCCCCCCTTCTGTTGTATCTATTGCGTCATTTCTTGGAAAATTCAGTTTAGCTATTAGTTCAGCATTTAGAAACTAAATTCTGTCTAACTTCACCTTCACCCTCTTATACGAGCTAAACTATACATATATTCTGTTTTGGTTCTATTTATCCTAAACATTTAGTCTCTAAAGTGCCTATCCAAAAATCCAACTTCTGATGGGTCCCTCCATAGTTTCATGGACAGTATCATCTGCAAATAACAGGCACGATTCTATTTACATTATTGGTTGACTCACACATAATAAGGGTAGAAACAATACTGCGGAAGGCAAACCTGGTGTAATTCAACATTTTCAGAAAATTCATTTGCCTTCCATTTTCCTGTACTTTGACTGCCCCTACATGTATGTCCTTAATGAATTCCTTCCTCTCAAGTACCCACACCCTCTAAAAGTCTTTTTTGTATGTATGAATCTCAGATTAATAGTAATACTGAAATGCAGTTGGGATTGAAGGAGTATTATCTTAATCAGTCTTGTTGTTCCGACCTAACTGTTCCATTTTCACTTCTGATTGGTAGAACATGTATTGTTCTAGTTTCGTGCTTTGTCAGATCAATTTTACCGCACCCCTGAGCATCACAAATTTGTCAGACAGCAAGTTGTAAATCAGGTCCGTAAAGCTTCACATCATAACATAAGCAAATCTCGCCTTATCATTCTTGTTCCGCGATAATGATATCATTTCTTTTTTTGGATTATCAGCTCAAGTCATGCCCAGAGATATATGACGGATATGTTCCCATGGCCTATCATGATTACCTGAACAAGATGTCAAAGTATCTCTTCAACTTTGTTTCTGAATTAATATCATTGTATGGATTACTCTAAATCACTACTTTTATGCAAATGAAATCAGGGACGGCGAGTGGGGTGATCATGTAACTCTACAAGCAGCTTCTGATTCGGTAAGTTTTTGGCCTGTGCTTTCTCTCACCCCATTGTTCCTTTCTTTCTGTTTCTCTTATTCTCTGGTGAGCGAGAATTTGGAGGGGGAAGGAGAGGCACTCTAAGTGTCTTTCTCTTTTAAAATTCTGGCATATCATTTCCAAGGCTAAGCCACACAAGGGGGTGAACTTTCCAAAAGACTTGCACCTAATAATTAAAATAGCCAAGACCAAGAACTGCATATCCCCTGGCACATTCTTCATTCTTGTTTAATCTACAAATATCAGTTGAAAGTTCAGAATAATTTATTTTCTTAGTGCATTTATGGTGCACTTTGTGAACATCATGTTGGGTTGTTGCAAAGAGATGTTTGGATTCTGTTAGTTGTTTATTAGTGATTCTCAAGCGTAATATTATAACACCATTTTCTTCAGTGAAATCAAGTTATTGGGGCTTGTTTATTTTTCCAGATTAAAAGTCAGTATTTGATTGTAGTTTGCTAGCAGAGTCAAGAAATTTATAATTATCTGACTTTCTCAACTATTCAATGCAGTATGGTGTAAAAATATTGGTCATAACATCTTTCCGAGATACCTGCTACATTGAGATACTTCCCACCATTCAAAAGTCTGAACGAGGTAAAAGATGTATTCTTGTTCGTAAATCTGTTTTGTTCCTTTTCTTGTTGCTAGATCTATCTGCAGCTTTGAACGTATTGCTTATCATCTAAGTTATCCCTATGACGTTGCGTAAATACTAAAATATTTGTATTGGTTTGGCCACCTCACAGTGGATTACTCCAGTTTAGAAAAACTAGTAATTTGTTTTCAGTTATCTGCTTTTGCAATGCCTAAATTATTGGCTAATCACACTATTGAATCCTCTTTTGGAACTTTACTGATTTCTCTATGTGGAGCAACTATTTATATTGAGTGCATAAATTGTAGAAAATATTGAATAGTTATGTTGACCTTAACTCTGATGTTAGTCTTGCCTTGAATTCAGAGCTGTCTTATAAGCTGCATCAACGTTCTAAATATACGAGTTGTGGTACTACTGACCTTCATGGTTAAGTCTAGATTCCTAGACTTGTATCTACAATAACAAAATAGTACGTTTTTGCTTAGACTTGGTTTTTTCTTGTGGAATTTTAATTTCAAGCAACAAATGAACATTTTTACCTGAACTTGTTAATGAAGAACAGATACATTTCGGTCGCCTTCGGGTGGTAGGTGAATTTGTTTATTCCCGTTGTGCAATTCAAAAGAGAGATCTCCTTTTCTCTTGGAATATATCAAACAACTCTGAGTGATCCTTATCATTATTACTTGGTCAAATAATCATGAAAGAGAGTTCATATGAGATCAGTCCGCATTGTTGTTTCTCTTCAGTTTTAACAAAGTTGGCCTGACTCTTGTATATGAACTCCCTTTGTTGCAGTTATCTTCTTGAGCTTTTGGGCCGAGGTTCACTACAACTCAATATATCCTGTACGAGGTGAGATCAAAATGTTCTAATTTTTGAATTAGTTATCATCTCTAAATTCCACCTCTTTTTTCTGCTTTCATCTTGTCACGTAAAGTTGTACTGATTGCAATTTTCCGGTTGATAATTAATTTGCCAATTTTTACTACTATAGAAAAACTTTTGCATTGAAATTGTTGCCTAAATAGTCAAGTAGAGGACTGACAGTCCATGTTTAAAATGGTCATTTTGGTGTACGCATCTTTGGATCACCATGTGGCCTGTGGGCAATAGAAAAGAAAAAAAAGCTTTCCTCTAATATGAAGGAAAGTAAACAAGTCAAAGTGATTCTATTGATTGACATGAAACAAAGATGATCACATTAACTCATTAACAACAAAGTTAACTGGTATTTGTTGTTGGTGGGAGGTGACATGTATATCGTGGAATTAGTTGAGGTGAGTGTAAGCTGACCCAGACTCCAGGTCATCAAAAACAAAACAAAAAAGATTCAAGTAGAAATCTTATATTGTACCTTAGTAATTTTCTGTGTGCTAGTTCGAATGGGCATGTTCTTACTCTTTTCTTCTCCCCATCTGATCCACAAAGAATCAGGAAATCATCTGTCCAAAATTTTTTTTTCCTTTCCATTCTCATTCTTTTCCTTTTAAACCGTATATATGATCTAAACTGGGTCTTACCCGCATTTTATTCTTCCTTGACGAGTGAGTGTTCTCTTGGGGTCTTCGTGTAACAGTTAAATCTGTTTGTTTCTGCCTTACAGATATCACAGCCGTTGAGATGAAAAAGAAGTACTTAGCCATTTCAAATGAGCAATTGGAATCTCAAGATGGTTACCAATGATAGACTGGTATTAGACACTTCACATATTCTGTTCAACTTCTGCACTCTTCAGTCTTAAATTATTTTGATCAACTATTAATTTATTGATTCCGTTATTTAGCAGCTAATACATTATGGTTGGCACAACACTTTTGCAAATTACCGATAACCAGCTCAGGTGCAAGCCATTTTTTTTCTTGACATTCTTTCCCAAGAGCAATATTTGGTTTGGGTTTTGAACTTGCACTATTCATCTTTGCTAAATCCAGCAGCAAGTCTAACATTATTTTCCATATTCTTCTTTAAGTATGTCTACCTTGAATGCATCTACAAAATAAAATACTTCAGGTGCATATTATCTTCTCTTAACCTTTAATAGTCAGATGTATAGGTGAATATCTGATTTCTGGAAATATCATTTTTATCTCATTGGTAAGAGTAATAATATCAACCATAAATGTTGTTTACATATAAAATAAATGGTTGATAGGTATAGGATTTTTTCTTTTTACAAAATAAATCTTGTGGGTCAATTTTTATATTTGAAAAATATAAAATCATGATATGAAAATTCAAATCAAACTTTTTGGAGAATTTTGAGATTTCATCTCATGATTTCAAATCACAAGATGAAATCGCATGTCCAAAGATTACTTAAAATTTGATTCATGTACTATTGAAGTGGGTAAAAGACAAATACTACAACAATAACAAAATCTTCATTATAATTTTACAAGTGGGATTTGGAGACTGTGGTGATTACTGAGTTTTAGTCTAAAGATATTTCAGATAGACCCTCATTTTAAGTGAATCAAGTATAAGAAACAAATAAAGTAGCGAAGAAAATAGTAGAAAGGTGATAAAAACAATACTTGTAAGGAAATGAAACAACACTTGACTACTTATTAATCTTCGATCTTTGATGAGATGCAGATGTATCATGTCTTGTCTTGTCTAATCATCGCTTCATATTTTTTTGACTGACTTCTACTTCTCATTATTCGACTATAGTCAACCTTTACACATTCTCATTAGAGTGTGTGTACATTTCCTCTTCATGTACTCGCCTGTCTTAGACTTACCTCCCTCATCTTGTCCACCATGATGATTATTCCCACTTTGTTTTTGACATCTTCATTTTTATTCCTATCTCTCTTCGAATGCCTAAACATCCATTTCTAACATTTTTATTTCCACAATTTGTCTTTTTTAAATGTTCGAGTTCTTAATCAATTAATACTTTGCCGCCCTACAATATATTTGGTTTGACTGTCACTTTATATAACCTAAATTTAAGAATTGGCGACATTTTCTTACCGCACAAAACACCAGATATAAGCCTAATACTAGTACTTGTTAGTTCAATGAAGTTAAATATTTGGAGTCTCTTTTTTCTTTCTTTTGTTGGGTTTGAAAATATTTTGGAGTTGCAATAGAAGTCCACATCAAGGAAGTATTCTACTTTTTTTTTTTCAAAGGCAGTGTAAAATTTCATTTTGATTTCATTTCCTTGTATCTTTGTCGTTGAAGAATGTTCAACTCCAATGCAGTCCATAAAACTCGAGCTACAAAAAAAGCAATATAGAATTGAGTTTTTGTTGGTTTTCCATAAGTTCAATATTCGTATTGAAATTTAAATAATTTAAATTCATACCATGGAGGACTTATTTGAGAGAAATACTTCTATCAAAAAAATTCATATGCATAGTTCGAAATTGAATCTCAAACTAATAAAAAATAATAATAAATTCATCCGTACTACACCATCTAAAGAAAGAGAATGGCAATCTTTGCTCTCTTTGTTTTCTATCCGGTATACGATACATGCATCTAAAAACAAAATACTTAATTTGGCATTGAAATATTGATGTGGAAATACGCATAAATAGAAATAAAAATATATAATAATTAATATATTTTCTAAAAAAATGTGTAAAACAAAACGAGACAAAAAGCTAGTACAAGTAAAATAGACTGAAGGGGTACTAATGGAGATAATAATAGCTATGACTTTTTAGGACCCATTAAGAATTGTGCAGAGTTTAAACATGCGCGCACTACTAATGGATCCAATGATATAAAAATATGATGAAACGACTCCATTGAGTTTGATAATCAAAATTTGATTTTAAAGTTTTTTATTGTAATTTTATTATAGTTTTAATTGTTAAATTTTCTTTGTGTAATTCTACTATAATAATAATAACAAAAAAAAAACTCCAAAATTAATTTTAAAAAATAAAAAAGGAAAAATATAAGATAGACATGAAATGGAAATCCTAATTCCATAAAAATGCACTCAATGATAATTGCCCTATGAAACTTCTTTTTTTAATTTAGGTACATATATTTAAGTAAATATATGAATAAAATCTGTGTATATGGGTTTTTTTTCAAATTTCACTTTTTAGATTATAGAGTATATTATCAATTGTATTATTATATAAGGTGAAAAATTATGCATTCGCGTAAACCAGGTCCTTCTTTCTTCGATGCATAAAAACTTTTTTTAAAAGCTTAATTGCAAAGAAAAAATGTTATGATTTGTTAATCTTTTATGTTGATAAATTGTGTGTACTACATAAAACATTAATTAAATATTGGTGAATTGCATTTATATCTAACAAAAGTAAAATCTTATTTGAATACTTAAGTCGAGGTAATAAATATATACTTCATTTTAATTAATTTAATGTTTTTCATAATAAATTATTCATTAGGAGCTTATTATTTAAAATTCATTTTATCAATTATACTTTAAAAATATAAATATGACTATTAATAATCTTATATAGTTATTTAATGATATATGCAATATTAAAACAATAAATAGTTTTGAATATAAAAGCAAAATAATTAAGTTTTATCAAAATGTTTAACTATATTAAATTTAATATGTAAAGAATAAAAATGAAAATATATAGAAACTCAATAAAGTTATCAAAATTAAATTGACCCCACTATACTCAATGAAAGAAGGCACAATTTGTAATTTAGTAAAAAAGTGTAGGCTTTTTCTACAGATGTTAAAGAAGGCTCGAATAATAAGACTGATAATACAATTTACTAAGCGAACTTGCAATACTCCCTGTGAAGGCCAAAAATACTTACTAGGTCATTATTTTAGATTTTATGTGTATTAATAAACTAAAAAAAATTATTATTTAATTTAACTTTTTTTAAAAATACCAAATAATAACGACCTTTGAGAAGTTGGAATGATAAAAATATTCACACTTGCCAATTGACTGACCAATAAGCAGCCATGCAAAAAGTTACTGTAACTGTAATTAAACTTCCAATAAGCAGCCATGCAAAAAGTTACCGTCTCTTCTATCTAAGGAGAAAAAAGAAAAGTAATTAAGTCTTGACCAATAGAAATTACTGTATTTAATAATCGAAACCATTTTGGCAGTACCGGTGCAGACATTCATCAACATTCAGGTTGAGTCAATATTTAATTTACGTTACTCCCTCCGTTTTAAAAAGAATTATCTAAATCCTAAACTTTAAGCTTTAAATTCTAGATTTGGAACAGAGATCAAGAAAAAAAAATTAATCTTGTGATTTTAAATTAAAATTATGTCAAATATACGAAATGCTCTTTAATTTTATGATTTTAATATGTCATGTGAAAAGTTAAAGTTAAAATATTATTAAAATGATTATAAAGAAATTTAAATAGTAATCGAAATACTTAACACAACAAATAGTAACATAAATCGATAGATAAACAATTATCATTGAATAACCTTCTATCGTAGTACATGTGCCTCCATCTTCATCTTCTATCTAAAATCATCTACTTCGTTAGCTAATATTATATCTTATCTTATCTAATTATTTTCATAATGTTTCCTGGTGTATTACTTATACGTTAGAGGTAATAGGCTCTGTCACCGGATAATTTTGGTACTAATTTTTTTTAAAATTATTCATAGTTTGACTTTCAGAGTGATGATTTGATTTTGGCTTTTCACATTTTGTCTTCGATCAAAGTCATTTTTATCTTATTTTTTATTTTTTCTTTTCTTAATATGCACCTACATCTAATAGTTTTATATTATATTATGTAGGTTGATAGTTAATTAATTTTTAGCTACTGGGCAAACTAATTTCCACTAACATATGATTGAGATATGTGTGCTTCTCGGAAATAATTTAGTTACTTTAAGTTTATTGTGGCTACTTGCATATTAGGATTCTCAAAATATTGTATGTGTCATATATATTATTTAAAAAATACATTTAAAATATTATTATAACAATTGACAACAAAATTATAAAACTAAAACAATAAAATAATATATATTGGATCCGAACTTTTGTCTCTTCCTAGTGTAATTCTTATAATACGAAGTGATAAAAAAAAAAAAGACCAAAGTATAAAACGAATAATTTCATTAAATTCTGGAAGAGAAAATATTTTATTCCAAATATTAGTAGCAACTCGAGGAACATTTCCAAGATGAATGAAAAAAAAGGATTATTTTATAAACTTTAAATAATAAATAATAATTAGAAGAAGAAAAAAGGGGTTTATCTTTTTTCTTTACCATATTTAAGATTCTTTAAGATTGGATTACTGGCTTTGCACATTGTAGATATTATTTTGGATTGTATTCATGTTATTTTATAGATCTTATTAGCATCTTATCTGACACCTATGTTGTTAGTATTAATTTGGATTGTATTCATGTTAATTTATAGATAATGAGTTTAATATTCAAAGTTTTAGTTCATGAATTTAAAATTTGTCATGAAATTATTATTCGACGTTATTATTTTATGGGAAAAGACTCAAATATGTTATCGAACTTTGATAAAAATTTTATTTATGTCATTTGTTAAAAGTTTGGTTCATCTATGTCATTTCTGTTTTAGAAAACATTATACATGTCATTATTTGTTAACTGAAAACAGTTCTAACTTTGCAAAATTGTTTATACGCGGTCAGTTATGATTGAGACACGTCATTAATTAAATTATTTTTTAAAAAGTGAAAAATGTTCAAATATGCCAACGAACTTATAGAATAGGCTCATCTATGCTATCCGTTAAGAGTTTTCCTCATCCGTGTCATTTCAGTTAGGAAATGCTGACATGGATAAGTCTTTTCTCAAACAAAAATTGCAATAGATAAGTCAAACTTTTAACGGAATGCATAAATGAGTCTTTTTCTCAAAGTTCAATTGTATATTTGAAACTTATTAAGTTCGTTTGAATTAGTAGGGTTAGATGCGAATATAAAATATTTTTATCGGATTCGTTTTGATAGAAATACTTTTAATTCCCTCCCCCCCCCCCCCACAATATAGAGATTTGCTCCAACAATCGCACTATAACCCCTCTGCTAAAATCGAAACCAAGATATAGAGAGGATTGTCCTTTTGTTCTGTTAGAGACAAAACAAAAGTACATAGCACTATGTACTCGTATGAATGCTGTTATTTCTCATGTTCTTTTATAGTCTAGTTTGGTTTCGAGAATCTCTCTCTATATATAGATCGAGCCTCCTTTTTAGTCGCCCTCTCCCCATCCCTTACTCGTCTTTTGATAGTCATCATCTTGAATTTTCTTTGTATGTGCCAGAAAAGTATTTCACCCCCACTTTTCTACATTGTATTATTATATATAAAATTTCTTCAAATCTCTATATAATAGAATGAAAATCCAAATGAAAGCACAAAACGCAAGAGAGAAAAATCTAAAAGAAAGGGGGAAAAGGTTAGTGCCTGAGCCAAAATATAAGAAAATTGCTACAAATTTTGAACTACTACTTTTAAAATATAGTAATGAATTCAATACAAAAAATTATACAATTTATATTCTAAATATACGTTTGCTCATGTCTAATACTAGGAACCTTTAAATTCAAGAAAGAAGTATGTTAGAATATTAGAGTTACGTAAGAATAAAATTCCATTTGTCCCAAATTAGTCGCCACGTGTTTTACTTTAAAAGGCAATTTGATTGTATTTTTCAAAATTAAAATTAAAATAAATTAATTTAATCTTTTATAATTAAGAGCTAGATATTATAAAACTACGCAAAAAGTATTAGTTATACTAATTTTTTTCATAATGATAGATCAAAATTAATTTAAAACAACTCCCCAGCTATAATTAATTTGAGGGAGAGAGAAAATACTCTTCGATCCCTATACTTAGCCATCCCAATCTTGAATATGCTAATAATAATAATAATATATCTAGTGAAATTTTATCAAGTGTGAATTGAAGATAGTAGATTGTAGAGTAAATATGTACACAATCATAACAATAAAACCAATGACGTATTTAACGTAATTTTATTTCTAAAATTATATTGTGAGAAGTGTGAGATATACAAGAATAAATTACAAGTATTAAGGAACCAGACTGAATTTATCCAATTTCAACCAATCTACTTTGATTTAAGAACCTTTTTTCGTATAAGATAAAAATATTTTCTTCGATAGATTCTCTAACTCTATAATAAAATATCACTAGTGACTTGCCATTTATGACCCTATCCATGTCTTTGAATATTCAACACCACATTAGATCTAAATTATCAAATTTTGAACTTTACTAAAAAAAAAAAAGATCTCTTGAAAAATCATTCTATCTAGTGATGATGACTATATTATATAAAATTATACACGTGAAATTTATATATATATATTCACACACTTTAATAATATCATCATCAACAATATTTTTATATATATACATCACTCTTTCTTTAGTCCCTACCACTACACTATAGGAAAACATTTCATCAAACACCTTTGTATCACTAACATTACCCACCATTTTTTTTTGTTCAATGGCATTAACTTTATCTTTTTCTCTTCCTCTTCCTTCTCTTCACCAAAAAATTCCATCAAAATACTCTACATTTCGTCCTATTATTGTTTCTTTATCCGATAAATCAACAATCGAAATAACCCAACCTATAAAATTATCTACCAGGACTATACCCGGCGACTATGGGTTGCCGGGTATTGGTCCATGGAAAGATAGGCTTGATTATTTTTATAATCAAGGAAAAAATGATTTTTTCGAATCAAGAATTGCAAAATACAAATCAACTATATTTAGAACGAATATGCCACCGGGACCATTCATCACTTCCAACCCGAAGGTAATTGTTTTGCTCGACGGCAAGAGTTTTCCGGTACTTTTCGATGCATCGAAAGTTGAAAAGAAGGATCTCTTCACCGGAACTTTCGTGCCGTCGACTGAACTCACCGGTGGTTATCGTATTCTTTCGTATCTCGACCCATCTGAACCAAACCATGAAAAATTGAAAAAGTTGATGTTCTTCCTTCTTTCTTCACGTCGTGATCATGTTATACCTGAGTTCCATGAAACTTATACAGAGCTTTTCGAAACCCTAGATAAGGAAATGGAGGAAAAAGGTACAGTTGGTTTTAACTCCGGCAGTGATCAAGCTGCGTTCAATTTCTTAGCTCGGTCGTTATTTGGAGTTAACCCAGTGGAAACTAAGCTCGGAACTGATGGTCCGGCATTGATCGGAAAATGGATTTTGCTTCAGCTTCATCCTGTGATAACTCTCGGTCTTCCGAAGTTTCTAGACGACGTACTCCTCCATACTTTCCGATTACCTCCGATTCTGGTGAAGAAAGATTATCAGAGACTTTACGATTTCTTTTACACCAACTCCGCCAATTTGTTCATCGAAGCTGAAAAACTTGGCATTTCTAAAGATGAAGCTTGTCATAATCTTCTCTTCGCTACTTGCTTCAATTCCTTCGGTGGGATGAAGATTTTCTTCCCGAATATGCTGAAATCGATAGCGAAAGCAGGGGTGGAGATCCATACCCGTTTAGCAAACGAGATCCGATCGGAAGTAAAATCCGCCGGCGGGAAGATCACGATGTCGGCGATGGAGAAAATGCCGTTGATGAAATCAGTAGTATATGAAGCTTTACGAGTTGATCCTCCGGTAGCTTCACAATACGGAAGAGCCAAACAGGACCTTAAGATCGAATCACACGACGCCGTTTTCGAGGTGAAAAAGGGTGAAATCCTATTCGGGTACCAACCATTTGCAACGAAGGATCCGAAAATTTTTGACCGGCCGGGAGAGTTCGTCGCCGATCGGTTCGTCGGAGAAGAAGGAGAAAAATTATTGAAACATGTATTATGGTCTAACGGACCGGAAACGGAAAGTCCTACAGTGGGGAATAAACAGTGCGCCGGAAAAGATTTCGTTGTGATGGTTTCGAGATTATTCGTAACGGAGTTTTTTCTCCGTTACGGTACACTCAACGTCGACGTTGGCACGTCGGCGTTAGGGTCTTCAATTACTATTACTTCTTTGAAAAAAGCTTAATTTTAAATCGAGGTCGAGATCGAGATCGAAATTTGGTCTACACTGTCACTATCGGCCAGTGTATGTGTTGTTTGTAATTATAATTTCAGTAATGTTTTCACAAAATGGGTGAATTTGTGTTTCTTGTTTAGATTTTGGGTGGTGTACATGTTTTTTTCCATTTCGAAATACTTGTTCGATCGTCTAAATTTAGTTGTCTATTTTGAATTATTTTTTTTAAATATCAAAATAACATAAAAAGATTTTTATTGTTTTTAATTTTAAATTAAAGATATGTTAACTTATATAAAAATATAATTTAATTTTATGATGTTAAATAAATTATTGAAAAGTTCAAATTAAATAAATACTAAATATAAAGAGAGTCGTTTATTATTTTTAAACGAAGTAAAAAGGAAAGTAAGTTAAACCAATTAAAATGGAGAAAATGTTATTTCCTGAGAGTTTAAATTTTTTTTATTTTGATCATCCCCTCGATATTTAGAGTGTGCATTGGAGTTCCGATTTAATCCAGATCATGCATCGTAGTGTGCATTCGAATCGATGCTCTCAACAGAATTTCTTTCATACCCAATATTTGAATTCAAAAATTGTGATTAAGGATGAAACATTTTTTAACATTTCATCACAGCCCATGTTGATCTTAAGAGTCGAAATTAGATACATTTTGAAAATATATATTTCTCTGTTTAAATTTGTTTGTCTTATTTTTTAACTTGATACATAATTTCAGAAAATTACAAAGTAATTTTAAATCGTGTGATGTACTACATGTAAGATTTTTTAGTATTGCGATCTTAAATATATTAAAAGTGAAAAATAATTTTTTTAAAAAATTGCCAACAAGACTTGAAGAGAGTCGAAGAAAAAAATACAAACAAATCGAAACGAATAAAATATTTATCATATTGTCCTTTAGTTCCATGTTAATTGCAAAAGAACCAAATAGACAAGAATCTTGGTTGGGCAATATTTTTAGCTAAGATTATTATTAAAATAATAGGAATGTCATTTGACCAAACATCAAGATGATTTAGCACTTGATTGGTCATTGGATTTTCAAATTTAAAATTTTCAATTGAGACTATTTTGGATAATATCTTTTTTATGGAAATTTTTTAACGTTTTGTTAGTCTGAAAATTGGGGCGAGTTAGTTTCTCGATACTCGGAAAATAGTCAAATTGGAAAATATTTAAAAAGTATTTGTCAAAATCAATTCAACTTTTATGTTTAAGTAAACAAATATTCAAAAATTATTTTTTAAATTTTGATTCATCAAATACTAGCTTAAATGGTATCTTAAAAAATTTATTTAGTCAGAGTGTATTTAATTATTCGATTATTATTAATATCTTTTAACAAAAAACTATTTTTTATCTTTTATTCTTACATGTTCATTATTAACTTATACGTACTTTAAGAAATAATGATTAGTTATTATAATCTTTTTGTTTGTCATTCAATATTCGATTTATTTAATGCCTTGTATGACCCTATCAGGAGAAACGTTCTTTACTAAAAAACTTTTCATATTTTAAGTTCGAATTCAAAATCTTAAGTTAAAAATGGTACAGTCTCATTTTCTATATCGTATCCTTAAATGATAGTTGTTGTATTATCTTAATTCTAGAAAATTGGTTTGAGAAATAAATAACTAATATTTTTAGTAAAGTAAAAAGATAATAATTATATTTTCTTGATATTCTATTAAAAAAAATTAAACATAAAAATTACATTTTAAAAATAGTGAACAAATAAAAATAAACAGACGGAGTAGTATATGGTCTTTTTCTTTCAACCTCTGAGCTTCCTCCAGGCAGTGTCTTCTGAACATGGGCTAAATAGCCCAATGGGCTAGGATATCATTATCCAATATGAATCAATCTTTATGAACTAAAATGTTTAAAAGTATTGTCGTATTTATATTGAAACTTTTAAATATTTATATTATTTTTAAAAATTTGATATATTATTTATCGACATTTTTAAAGTATTCGAACAATATGATGAAACCAAGAGAGTGAAGTAAATTAAGAAAGATCCAAAGTTAAAACTAACCAAAGTTCTAAGTTGATGTGATAGCCCAACATTAATTAACATTTAATAGACAAATAAAAAATAGGGAAATTTTCACATATAGCAAACAAAAAATTCATATTTGTATGTTATAGCAAAGTTTGCATAATTGCGCTCCATAGCAAACATAAAACTGTATAATTCGCTGCCTGCAATTGTATAATTCGCTGGCCTATTTCACTGCAATTGTATAATGTACAATTGTATAATTCGCTGCCTATTTCGCTGCAATATTTGTATAAAATTTACGTTGCATACAATTGAATCGAAGTAAAATGTATGTATATTGCATAATTAGAAGTGTATAGAAAGAATATATATGTTTTTCTCTCGCTTTATACAAAAATAGAAACACAATATATACACTTCTGTTGTATAAAGCGAGAGAAAATTGTATTTCACTGCAATTGTATAATTCGTTAGCCTTTTTCGCTGCAATATTTGTATAAAATTTGCATTTTTCTACAATTGAATTGAAGTAAAGTGTTTGTAAATTGTATAATTAAGTGTATAGCACGAAGATATATGTTTTTGCATGTGTATAATTAAGTGTATAGCACGAAGATATATGTTTTTGCATGTGTATATACAATTTTCTCTCACTTTACAAAACAGAAACACAGTTTATACACTTTTGTGTATAAAGCGAGAGAGGCGAGCATAGGGAGAGAGGCGAGCGAGAATGGGAGAGTGGCGAGCGAGATTTTTGGGAGAGAGGCGACTGACAAACTTTGGCTAACGTTTGCTATGGAACACAATTAATTCAAACCGTAGCTACTCTATTTATTTTAGGTTATTAGTTTGCTATTATATACAATTATCCATAAAAAATAAGCACAAAATGGCCCAAATTAATAAATGACATTTTATAGTTTTTTTTTTTGGTTCTTCTATATCACTAAACAACAAAAATAACGGAAACATACAAAATTATATATACAATACGTAACCATCTAAAAACGTAAATTATGTATTTTCATATACTTTTTATTCGTTATTTGATGATAAAAAAAATTAGCTGTATTCTTAATGATATTATGTGGGTAGAAGAATGGTGTATTCATTCACTTAGTATTAGTATACATTTATAGCCATGTTATCCCCTCCCATGTATACATATTAAAAAATCAAACGCTTTATGCATTCATTCACTTATAATATGTATATACTGTTGGATTTATTTTTTTAATCATGAGATCATATATGCATACTGGTGTATTCATTCTCTCAAATTTTGTATACATTATAGATCCTTTCTTTAGAATATGAGGATTGCAAATGAAATATAAAATGCTCAATAAACACACAAATTCAATCGGATAACGAGAAAAACTTACATGGCTTATGAAATTTAGAGTTATGGATGGAAAATTCACAAAATTAGAATCAGAATACTCTCATTTTTATGAATAATCCTAGGATAACTTTCTTAAACATGACAATTGATACCCACAATTAATTACTATTAAATAATTTTTTTTACTTAAATTAGATATAACTTTCAACTTCAAAATTAAAACCCCCAAAAACGGAACGACAATACAAGAGAGGATCAAACATAGACTAACAATTAGAAAAATAGCAAGAATTTAAAAGCGGAAGAGAAAAAATACACTATGGATGAATGTTTTATATAGAATTCAATATGTAAAACTAATAAACAAGACGGTAAATCATCGTTTATTAAAAGTAAGGAAGCAAATAATCAATTAAAAAAAAAATATGATTCAAAAGATTTGTGTATGTATGGAAAAAAAGAGAAAAACAAGGAAGAAAAAAACTACTTCCCGATAAAAAGGACATCATTCTATCACCTCTTAAGATTATTAATTTTGTTTTTTTTAAAAAAAAACTTCTCAATACGTGAGCTACTAATTGCAGAATTTGATTTAAATTTTTTTTTTTTGGTCAAGAAAATTAAAATTGGCTATATGTTGTCAATCAATAAAGGATGAAATGTCATGTTATGTCATTTTTTCAATTCATAGCCCAAAGAGAGGGCTAGAACTCATTAATGGGCCAAATGCCCACATAGCGACTGTTATTTAAGACATAGTCAAAATATACATTTCTTTATAAGTTATCGCTTTATAGTTAATTTTAAATTTACGATATTTAAGTTAAAAATGTTGGATTTAGAGTGATAAACTTAATGTATGCGAGTTAAAATAGTTAATTTTAAATTTACGATTTTTAAGTTAAAAATGTTGGGTTTAAAGTGATAAACTTAATGTATGCGAGTTAAAATATTCACTTTTACTTTAACTCAAGTACTATTCATGATAAGAGGAATATCAAAATGAATAAAAGCTAATGGAGCCAAAAATTTATAAGCTAATTTCCATTGTCACATTAACCAAAACAAGTTGGCTAGGATGAATTGAGATCAATTTTTCATTTGAAATTCCACTCAACATGTTTTTCTTAAATTAGATTACATAAATCTGTTAAAAAATAAAAAAGGAAGGAGGGAGTATTTTGCCCTAAATTTACATATATCAATTATTAACTATATAACAACAACAATAATATATACGCACAATAATTTTCATAATTATTTCAAATCTAAACAAGTTGATAAAGTTTGTTTTATATATGTTCTCGGTCGAATTGAGATCGTTTTTTTCATTCAAAATTCAGAATTATTCTTATTTTCTTTTTTAAACTATTAAACACATAAATTTGCTCAGCACAAAAAAAGGAAAAAACGCTTTCTTCTGAAACTTACATATATCAATCATAAACTTAGGTAATTTAGTAAGCAGAATCTAAATAAGGTAAAGGCGTGTGCGAAATTTTTCATATTCCAAAATAGATAAAGAGGCTATTTTCGAAAAATTTCGGAAAGTTGGCTAGCAACTTAATTGTTTCATTTTGCTTTTTCTAATATCTCAATGGTTCTGGAAAGGATAGAATCTTCTGGAAACTCCTCAGTCTATCAATAATAATAATTCCAAAAAACAAAATGCAAAATATTAAGCCCTAGTCTCTCTTTGTATACTTCACCAAACTTTGTCACTCTTTTCATTCCAAAAC